AGAAGAATAAATACAGTACTTGAGATGTGACGTTGTCCTCAATCTGTTAGAAGAACAAATACAGTCACTTGAGATGTGACGTTGTCCTCAATCTGTTGGAAGAACAAAATACAGTCACTTCACATGTGACGTTGTCTTCAATCTGTTAGAAGAATAAAATACAGTCACTTGAGATGTGACGTTGTCCTCAATTTGTTAGAAGAACAACATATAGTCACTTGACATGTGACGTTGTCTTCAATCTATTAGAAGAATAAATACAGCCACTTGAGATGTGATGTTGACCATCACCTGATGGAAGAACAAAATACAGTCACTTGAGATGTGAAGTTGACCATCACCTGTTGGAAGAACAAAATACAATCACTTGAGATGTGACGTTGAACATCACCTGTTGGAAGAGCAAAATAGAGTCACTTGAGATGTGATGTTGTCCTCAAATTATTAGAAGAATAAATACAGTCACTTGAGATGTGATGTTGTCTTCAATCTCGTAGAAGAACAAACACCAATCACTTGAGATCTTACGTTTATCTACTTTTATAAAAAATATGTTGCTTATTTAACTAGTACTGCCAATCTTGATAGTGTCTTATCATTTAGGGTTAAATAAAATCCTTGAGTTTTGAAGAATATTGCTCGTGCTGTAATTCGAGTACAGAGAGTGATGAAACCAGTTCTGATGATAAGACAGAAATGTTATAGTTGAAAATAAAGCAAGAACTTCATAGAAAAGACCAAATGCTGTAAGGTAACCAAGAAATACTTAAGTAAAAACTGACCATGATAGGAAACCAAAGAATTAACTTGGAATGAATTAATAAAATACATTTAAGCTCTCACGATATTAAACCCCAGTGTCATTGCTATTAAGGCAGACTGTTGTAAATGTATAATATTTCATGTAATTAAACATTAATCAAGGAGCGCGGTAGCGATGGGTCCGGTTAAAGACAGTGCCCTGTACATTACGTATGGTGTCGCGTTCGCCAGGACGTCAGTAAAACGTAGTTAAAAGATAGAGACGGAAATCCCTTCACTAATCAAGTACAAAACTGACTCTAAAGTTAGCCTAACTTTCCTTGACGTCTAGAAAACGATCACAAGAACATCGATTTTCTTCTTATTCTCCATCAGCTGTAACTCGTAAACCACAGTGTGCTCACTTCCAGCCTGCACACCAATACATTTTACTACTCCTTAGGATGTGTATTTTTACACCCAGAGCAGCAGGTGATCAACGATAAGTTAGTTACAGCCCACAGTACTAATCATGGTCTCTTACCAGTAAGCTATTATGTGTTTCATATGAAATTAGATAATCTACTGTATGTACACTGAGTGGTCACAAGTAAATAGACACCTAATTTTTCGTCATTTAACTGATTTATGCTAACTAACTTGTGTTCACACAGCACTATATAAATGAAAATGGTCCGCACACTAATTATCTTGTGCCACAACATGCCTAGAACTCAAGGTTCTCTCGAATTGTCAGATTTTGTTAGAGGAAGGATAGTTGGTCAAGCATATGGTGGAATAAGTCAGCGGCAAATTTCGCAGAATTTGGGAATCACGCTTTCG